CCACATGTGCTTCATCCTCATATAACTCCGTTGCACGTCAGTTTAAGAAAATTGTTATGACATGGTTTTGTAGAGAATTCAATAAGGAATCTCTTGGAAAAAAATTTGGATCGATAGGATAAAAGCCGGCGGAGTTATATTCAAAATACGGGAGTGCGTTTATTTATGCGCCACCCGTTACTTTGGATGGCATTTAAATACATTCAGGCTTATTATAGATCGAAAATAGCCGAAACACTCATGATCTTTTCCTTGATAGTGAGCACCATAGCATGTGTTTGTTGCTTTTGTGCCGTGTGCTATAAAATCATAAATGGTGATTAGTTAGCTGAGCATTCCATAGTAAGAACCACAGACCTATTGAAAATGTATCATCTGTGTTAATTGCTAGTACGGAAAGAACAATGCACGATAGGAATATTGTTATTAACTGAAGCATTTTGTTTTGCAGAACTACACACCCACCGTTTGTCTAAGCGGCTGGATGAAGGAAAAGAACGATAGAGAGCTATTTTATTATTTTCTTCAAATACTTCTTTTTGGCTATCGATGAGAAATTAAGCATCTGTAGTCCCTCCTCATGATCGCTAAATGTTGACGACATAGAAAAATATCAAAACATTCTAGATTAAGATAGTAATGTATGAAATAACAGCCACTTCCTTTATCCTTCGGTTTCAAGGGGAAGAAATTCGAGTGGAAAACACTAACTCGTAATACTAATCCTTGTGGAAAATTCGAAATACCTTCATTAACGGATAAAGCACGTCAGCTTGTATTACTTATATTAATTATTTAAAATAGTAGATCTACGAGTCGATCAAGTTTAGATCTTCTGTATACTATACAATGTTCACTAGTTGCTTCACACCAAGAATAAATGGTCTTCAAGTACCCTGGAGTTCTAGAGTATGTAATGACTGTACTACTGAGACTGCTGAAAAATGGGGTGTAAGTCAGAAACAATAGACGCATATGGTATCTACATATATTTAAAACAAAATATATCATTAATAGTAGATGATAGAGAGCAGGTGTATTCCTGTTTTGTCAACTCATTAATTTTTTTTCTGAGTCATCGATAACATTTTGGGGGTAGATGGAAGATGTTTGTGAGCCACGGATGCTATAAAATGTCGATGAAACAAGAAAATCAATTAACGTGTCGACGAATCAGGACTGAACGAACCTACAAAGCACATTCAATAAACACTGTATAACGACGTAAATGGAAAACAACAGTATGCTAGTACAATAAAACAAAACTAAAAGAAATAATTAATTTTCATACACAAACTGAATAATTAATAAATAATAGATCTTCACTTTTCACAACGCCAAACACTGGTTGGTTTTTAGAAAATAAAAATATATTGAAGGAAAAGAAAGATACATAAAGAAAGGAACGATGAGTATGGTATGAAAGTTTGATTAATAGTTGTTTAAAATATAGCAGGCAATAAGAACTGTTCGTCATAATTCTTGAATTTGAGATTGTACAGCCTGAGTCCGCATATTGGTGACCTAAAAGCAGTAAAAAAAAGGATAAAGAATTCATGGCAGTTATCAATTTTTAACTGATATTGGCATTGTTTTTATTAAGTAAAGGAACATATAAAATTTCTTCTCACAGCACACTAAATTCAAATATTCGTCTTCATAGCAAACTATGAAAATACAGTCGAAATAATTCTACACATTTTGATAGAAACTACAGATGTGCACGGGTACCATTTTTGTACCCGTACCCGACCCGAAAATTTTTTTTCCACCCGTACCCGACCCGAGAACTGTGTACCCGTACCCAACCCGTAATCGACTTATACCTAAAAGATTTCTCCTTTTTGTTTTCCAGCTAAAAACTTTTGTTTTTCGGCTGAACATGTCAAATTATCATTACGTTCTCAAGTAATTCTTTTTTAAACCTTAATGTATGTTAGCTGGATTCCTGTATTTTTTCACTAAAATTTTGAGAGTTTTCCACTCGAACCTTCCGGTTTTCGGGTAAGTTAAAAAAAATAGAACCCGTACCCGTAACTGCTCTACCCGTATCCTACCCGCACCCGACAACTTCGTACCCGTACCCAACCTTCGGGTCGGGTCGGGTACGGGTACGGGTCGGGTACGGATCGGGTTGCACATCTCTAATAGAAACCCAAAATAAGTAAATCTTTCTGAATTTTTTACTAATGTATAGAATACAGAAAACGAACTAGACAGCAACTACACTACACTACGTGAAATTTGAAAGGCGACAGAGTGAAACCGACTGCAATAGAACCTGTTTACTAACAGCATGAACAACCTAATAGTACGACATACGAGGAATCACTAAATACACTCAAATTATATCTAGCGAAAACAGCATGGAGAAAGAATTAGCTACTAGGAACAGATAGTGCGAGAAATAACAAGAGAATTAGTATGTGCTATAATCGGAATAAGTTCAAATTAAGCTTATATAATATATGAAAAAAGCGTTTTCAGACCGGAATTACATATCTCTACTCCTTTTGACCGGTTGTTTGATGATCTTTTGAAAACGTGTTTCTACTGTCGGTCTAAATTTACCGTCACACCACTTTTTTGGAAAACTAGACAACATGTGAATGAAAAGGGAAAAACAGTAACAAAGCAGAGATAGAATAAGAGTAAACATTTGGAACAAAAAATTTTCTCTCATTTTTATTCTGCAGACAATAAGAAAAGAAAACTGGCGCCTAACAACTGCTGTAATTAATAATTTTTGAAGAAGATACAACATCTCATCATTAAATATGAAGAAAAAACTCTATCATTTTCTCTGCACCCTACACTACAATGAAGAGCTCTGAAAAACTATAAATGTATGAATCATATGGTATGATTCATACATCATCGTACGAGATCACTAAAAACTGTAGGACAACTTGTTTCAATAAACTAGAATTTGACTGTTTTCAGCATAAACACACAGAAGCGCGTCCGAAATTGCTGGAAAAGGCACAATCCTTGTACGCCGGTGAGCTGCCCCTATTCTGGCATCGTACATGTTCACTCGATTGACGTTAGAGAACATACCCACAATGAGTATGAGGACAAAAACATAACACAAAAGAAAAAATCAAAAGGCTCTCCACCGTTTCACTCTGTCACCTTAACTACATGAAGACCATTGTGTTGATAAAGAGTTGAAATACTCGACTTATTTACATGTGGACATAATCGAGGTCAGTCAATCTGTCTCAAAGTGTAAAAAATTTGGCAATTAGTCAAAGATCATCGATCGTATGCAGCCAGCAATCACAACGCATCCACTAACATTCTAACAGATGTAAACATCGAGTCCCTCAACAACCAATAATCATAGATAATACAAAGAATGGGATCAAAGACAGACCAAATAATTCGCGATTTGGATCCAAAGTGAACATCACTCATGCGTGATGTGATAAAAAACTTCAATCCATAACAAACAGAGAAGATGAAGGAGATATAGAAAAATATTAATTAGAACCGAGTGAAAGGAAATAAGTCAGCATACAAAGACAAATTGCAACCACAAAGCATGAAGATATTACTCAGAATCGATGCTCGAGCACAAATTTTCTTTCTTCTCAATGCTTTTTATTGTTAAAAGCATATTCTGGTTAAAATTTGATAATTTTTTTCTTTCTCTCATTTTAGTTTTCCGTACTTTTTGTACGCGCTTGTGTCAAAAATAATGTTAGTGTGCTAATTTAATCGTCGAACATTAAGAGAACAATTACTATGATTAATGATCGAATATACAATTATTTTAACCAAAAATTTGGTTTAAATGAAATTTGACGTTAAAAATTTATAAACAATTTTGTGCACCATAAGTTATATTATCTACAATACTGATTATAAATCCATATGCGCAAAAGACAGAATATTGTGCGCACTAAGTAAAAATGCGTTACTTCTCACACATACGTTTTGCTGTTGTTGAGATGGAGAAGTAGAAGGAATATTCGTTGTATTATCGACTGTTACATTAGAAGGAGAAGCTGTATTTTCTTCCTCAGACGTCGATGGTATTCCATTATTCAAAATTGGAACTGACGATTCACCTTTAAAATGGAACAAACATTTATATGACTATAACAGATAACGATAAGATGATTATAACAGTTTATTTGAAGTTCACCTGTCGTTGTCATTATTCCTTCTGCGATATTATCCATTTGAGATGTCGATTGTTGAGGAGTTTTTGCTACAGATAGTGGTGGAGACATCTTGAATACTTCATCCCATAGTCCTGGAAGAAAACTATGAATTCGATCTTTTGATATTACTGTTAGTTGTCCTGAATCAAATAGGGCCGTTGTATCCATAACTAGCAGCATGTTTTTCAATGATTCACGAACTGACTCACGCTAAACAAAACGTCCATTTTATTTTCATCTACCTTCTAGACAATATAACTCCAACTTACAAGCATATCTGTTTGATCTGATTTCATATATTTGTCCATAAAATCGAGTATTGTTAACCATAGAGCAGTGAACGTTGGTAGTGTTAACAGTGGATTTAAATGCTGTAAAAATATTCGACACAATAATTGAGATACTCGAACTCGAGTCTCTTCTACGCCAAATGAATCATTGATATTGATTGGCTCTAACAGTTTTAATAAAAGTGGAAATAAAACTTTATTAAATACACTCTCCCATTCCTGTGCAGATAATATATGTAGTTCAGGTAATAGAACACTTCGTTGTAAATAACTAAGAGCAGATGAACGAACGGGACGACGATAATCGCAACACAGACGAGCAATACCTAAAGAAAATTACAGATTAAAAATCATTATATAAAATTCTTATGTAGTCTGTCTATCTCTTTTACAGTAAAACATACCTTGTAGTATTGGACACCAGCATTTGAACCAAAGTATGGATGAATTTGTTGTTTGATCTAAACGTTGTTGTGTCATTTTTTCTTTATCTTCTGAGTAAGACTTATAAATGGATGATGCACGCGTGTGAAGTGTATGCATTAGATCTAATAGTTGTAAACTCAGTGACTGATATTCTTGTTTTATCGCTTCATCATCATCGTCCTCGTCATAATCAAGAGTTGATTGACGAATTTTTGTTGTAGGTTGAAATTGTTGCTGAGAAGTTTGAGAAGTCGAAAGTGACGAAGAAGATGATGAACTTGAAAGTTGATCGATTGTTGCTTGACGTTTCTTTTGTCTATACGATTAAATATGTAAACATGTATTATTATGAATTTAAGGCAGCCTTAAATTCATACTTGGGACTTGGGAGAGGAGCCCTCCTCTCCCAAGTCAGAAATCTATCTCAGTCCAGGTAGCTCTGATCTGAACTAAACTTTCAGGGAATGTTGACCGTGTCTAAGTGTGGTAACGAAACTTTTTTGTACTACTTGCAACTGCTCGTGGAAGGGCGCCACAACAAGGGCCAAAAATAGGCGTCTAGTACGAGCAAGAATTCTCTCTCATTCCAGGTAAATGATAGAGAGTTCGGGCTGTTTTTGTCTTGAAATAAACACTTATGGCTAGGAGTTGACAGAGCTCCATTTTTGAATTTTTCATTTACTGATTTCTGGTGCTTAATAGAACTTTAAAGTCCGAAAAATCCTTGGAAGAAATAGCAAAATGGAATGGAATGAAAAATCCTTGGAAAAATGGAAGCATAATTTAAAAATCGGACTCAAATCCTAGCTATAGGTGTTATCTACAAATCAAAAGAAAAAAAACTTTCTCCGACGTATCATTACTGAGAATTCTTGTGCGTGGCGAAAGTCCTGAACCTCAAAAACGGCCTTGAGAAAAATGCAAAATAAGTTTTAATTCTATTAGATGTGTTTTACTTAAAAACTGTTTGAGCGTTATATAATATATTGATACTTTGCTATAGGTTATCGATCATGACAGATCCAATGAACATGTGCGGCACATCCGTGCGCTTATGCAATACAAGTGCAAAAAAGTCATTTTTTTGCTACAGGGATACTGAAAAACTCACTCAAAATCTATGAAAAAGCTATCCTATCGACACAAAAAATTATGCCATTAGAAAGTAGACACTTTGAACTCTCCAACCACGTGCTTTTCCCCAAATCGATATTTTTGTCGAAAATTGATATTTCTAACCCGGGGGAAGGGGGGGACCTTAAAAAAACCAAGCATGGTCACAAGTGGAAAATTATAGGAAAAAAAAAGATGAAAATATACTGTTACCGTTGTGTTGTCCTAAGAGGAGGCTGTTGTTGTAATTTTTTTTGTTGTTGTTGAATTTGATTTGAGCTAACTGTTGCTTCAATAAATGTTCGAATACAATGAATACAGTATTCAAAATTTTCTGGAGTTACATGGGCTGTATCTCGAACAAGAAATGTCAAAGTTTCACAGCATTTAATAAGTGCACGGCGATCATGTCGACTTAGTTTCTCATTTAAATCGATTTTATATTGATTTATTTTTGATTGATGAGTACGAATGATCTCTAAATCATCATGTGATACCTGAAATATACACAAGAAAGCTTTCATGACAGAATTCACGTTTCACGAAAACAGTCAAACGAGATAAAATAGACTACAACGTATTGTACAATGGATATATATCGAAGTACTATGATCTACTATCTAAATGAGTTCAAATTTTCAGGATATAGTCATATGATGTGACTCAACATGACTGTAGCCTATGTTTCCATGTATTTTTGACTTAACTAGAGCTGAAAGTCGAATGATATTAGAAATCAGGTGAGTCAAAGAAAACTTATCTTTAGAACAATGAAAGCTAATGATCTTAGGCTTATCTAGATATGTAGGAGACGCTTTCGACTATCTAACTATAAAAAATATTGTAGAAGTATAATAGAAATTTCAATAATGACAGTCTCTAGAACTGTGTCCAATGAGATGTACCATTGTAGATTACAGTACTTGAATAATTTTTACGAAACGACTATCACAAGTTTTTACTATATTATGGTTCCTTACCACAATATAATCTGTTTTGGCAGTGGGATCATCAATTCCTCCAGACATCTTTCGTTGATAAGTAGACTGATGATAGAGTTCTGTATCCGATGTATAGCCCTTATCTTTTGCTGATGATGATAATTGACAATCGAAATTCTGACAACATTCACTGTCGGATTGCACATCTAAAATTAATATAGCGTGACCACCATAGCTTCTCTGAAGATAAATCAATTTTTAACAGGTGTTTACAACGACTATAAAAAAACGAAAGAGAATTTTATCTATAACTAAATGTAGATACCGTTTTCTGTCGTTGATTTGCTTCCATGTAATAGTGTATGATGATGAAAAGTTTTTGTAGGTGTTTGGGGTGTCGTTGTTATTGTTGCCTGTAGTACAGGTGGTGGATGTGCTCCAGCTCCCACTACTTCCAGCAAAGAGAATAGAGTAAACCAATCATCACTTTTGTGAATATTAGCCGCATTTGTTCTCAACAGTTCATGCAAACCAAAGGCAATTTCAGATGACAGGTGATGAATGACGGGTAGTTTCATAAGCAAAAACATGCGTAACGAAGCCAAAACCTAAAATGAAACAACGACAAAAAAAAAATGTAATAAATAATTTTCGAAGAATTCTTTGAGTAGCCAGCTTTTAACAATGCAGTTCTATACATACTTCTGATGCTAATTCTTCTCTTCTTAATAGTCTCGCAGCTATTCTCAATAGTCCGACACATGTTCTTTCGATAAAAAATGACTTTTGGTTAGCATTCACTAATATCGAATAGAACTGATGACGCACAGTTGACCAAATTAAAGTAACACGATCTCTAATAAAAAAAAGTTATTTCCACAGTTAACAGTCTCTAACGATCATATATATCACATATTAATTTACCTATTTTGTAATACAACTTTAACTAATAATTCCAAACAAAATACGGCTGAATCTTGATCAAATTTAATATCTGATCCAGCCAATTGTTCTGGTCCTTGACAGCCGTAGATCAGTGCCTTAATAAGTTCATTCAACGAATCAATGATTAAAAATTTTGTTTCTTGTAACAATTGTTCAAGATGACATTCTTCGATGCAGGACTGAGCAACTTTTATTGCTTCTTGTTCTTCAACCGAGGGTTGCTTTTGTGATGATATTTGACTGTCATTTCCACCTAACAAAAAGGCTAAGGAGCTAAATAAACCAATATCTGTCCTAAAATGAAATAAAGAAAAATATGATTAATGTTATCTCTCAATGATAGAAGAAATGTGTCCAATTCACAATATTATTCGAATCTCATTTTCACACAACGCCAATTTTTTTAGACAAAAAAAATGAGCACATTATTTCACAAAAAGCAATGTGTAATATTCGTATCGAAAGTCAGAAACTATTGCTTTGTCCTGTAACGGTTTTATTTCTATTAATTGTAGCTAAAGTCATTGTTTTACTATTCTTAGATTTTATTTAAGCGCTCCTTTTCCGGTTAGAAATGTATTTTCGACATAAAAAACGGGACCAAATCTTCATAGAACGTTAGTCCTACATAGATTAGAGTAACTGTTTAACTTTAACATTAACTTGAAGTTTCTCAAAATTATCTCAAAAATAGTGATAAAAAAGTAGATGTTTATAGTTCCAAGATTTCTCCTCTACTTCCAGAGCCGAAAATCTTGGATTGTTCTTGAAATGTCGCCAGCACATTTTTCTAGGGCATAACAGAGCCCGATGTTTTATTTTTGTCTTTCTTTTCGAGAAAAATAAAAACTTCTTGAAAGTTAGCGAGATTTTTCTTAATTTTTAAAAAAAGACCAGTCTAAGCTTTCGGATCTATGGTCATATTGTGTATTACATAATTCTATGTCCTAATTTATCGTAATAACATAAGTTTTGTTCTTACTTTGGTGTCTGTGTTACTTGTTCTTTAATTAATGTTGTTCTTCCGCTTGGATCAAGAAAATCCTCAACCTAACGAATAAAAATAACAGAAAACATTGATCTCCTTAATGTATTCAGTTTCATACACACTTCAACAAGGACACTGGGTAGTAGATTTGCTTTATAAAGATGTATAATACATTCTAATAAATTTTTCCATCCATCTCTTAAAATATCGCCGTGAACATGAGCGATACTGAACACAACAGTGGCTGCTAATCGAGCTTTACGATTTAAACCAAATTGACTTGGAAGATTTTCAACCCACTAGAATGAGAAACGACAGAGAATGAAGATGAATTAGAAAATTATCTAATGTATATCGGGTGGCCAAGATAAAATCGGACACTTTCAGTCGTTGTTTTTGAGACACTGCCTAGTAGTCCAAAGAGTTTGTTCTAAACTCAATCGATAGAGTGAATTCTCTACAAAACCTGCTATTTAAATCTCTGATAGCATTTTTCTCGTTTGAGCACCATTTAAAATATTGAAGAGTGCTGAGTTGTCTAACTGTGATACACTGAAAATAGAAAAATATTTGCCTTATTCGAAAAACAGATTCCATAAGAATTTCGAAAAAATCAGAAGATTCAGCGAAAAATTCTGCATCTTCTCGCCTATTTTTCGAAATTTTACAGTTAAGTCTTTTAGGAAATTTCTCTGTGCAAAAAACTGACAAATCCAAAAAACCTAACTTTTAAACCTATTTTCCACAAAACTTAGTTTTTTAACTATAAAAGCAGTAAAACGTTCTGAATCCAGAGTTTTAGTCTTATTATCCTACACAGAATTAAATTCGACATCGTTTGATATATAAACAAAGTTTCTTAATTGAAACCATTAATTAAAAAAATTAATTTAATTTGAAAAAATTGAAAAGCCGATTGAGAGCTAATTATAAGTCCAGCTGGCGTAGCAGAAACATTGTATAAAGTTGTGAAGAAGTGAGATCGATAGAGCACAAAATTCTCTATCTATCTACGTAGATAAGTTAACTATTGAACCTCAGACAATGGGCTAAAAATGTCAAAAAAAGAGACGACAAAAAGCTTGTCACAATTTGACAACTCAGCACTCTTCAATATTTTAAACAGTGCTCAAACGAGAAAAATGCTATCAGAGATTTAAATAGCAGGTTTTGTAGAGAATTCATTTCTCTATCGATTGAGTTTAGAACAAACTCTTTGGACTACTGGGCAGTGCCTCAAAAACAACGACTGAAAGTGTCCGAATTTATCTGGGCCACCCGATAGAAAAATAGATAAATAGTAACTAAAAGCGTCAGCATGCTCAAAACAAAATAGATATATTAGAGTCGTGTCTCTATATAATTGCACGACAACTGAATGATGCATTCAGTTGTCTTTTATAATTTGTCCGTATAAAAAGATAGATAAAATAAAGTTTTACTCCTATTTTCGAAATGATTGCGGGCATGTTCTGTGTTTTGTTCTAATTTATCACCTCAAATAATCATAAATGATTATTCGATGATTAGAATCTCTCGTTTGTCTATTTTTTTTCAAAAGTATTTTGTCTATGAAATTATGTGATCATGAGCATGCAATGTCATGCAAAAGAGCAAGAGAAAAATGAAATACCAAATCTTCATTCAGCTAAAATAATAATAACATAGAAACAGAACATAAACAATAAAAAAAGCAACCTGTTTTCTTTCAAGGATTTTCTATCATTCTTTCCATTAGAGATGTATACCATAAGAAGAGACATTTAAACATAATAAACGACACATTTTTGTCAGATTTTTCTCCCTATCTGACTACATACCTCTCTATTGTTTAATAGCGTTGTAAATTTGCATAATGAAATAACTAAATTATCGAAGACATCACTCATTAAATAGTGAGCTGCAATTCGAGCACATTTACTAAAATGATAAATACAATAAAAGTATCTAAACATCATTGTGTAAAAGATGATAGGAGAAAGTCACATACTTAAAACCTTGCATAGCTTTATTGATCACTAATTCATAATGTGATTTTTCAAATACAAATGATAGTGCAGCCATTGTCTGTCCCCATATAATTGTGAATATATCATAGTTATAAGAGCCAGCAGGAGAATGAATAAATTTATCTGTTATCGATTGATTTTGACTTCGTTTTAACATCATTTTCCACATATAATGATCTTTTAGAATGCCAACATGTTCAGCTGGCATTATAATTTCTTCACTTCTATAATAAAATACACACGAGTCTAATATACATAGATAAAAAAAAAAAAAAAAAAAATTAAAATATTATCTACTTGATTGCATTATAAATATCAGTTAACATTTTGTCATCAAAATTATCTTTATTATTCATTTTAGATAAATTTCGTTTAAATTCCTAGAAAAGAAAAATTGAAATCTAAATATCTGTACATAATATTTAATTATTCGACTATTTTAGATTTATATATACTATCTTTTTACATAGTGATATATTCACAAGAATAACTTACATCTAATGTCATTGGTGTACTTTGTCTTCGAACATTTGTATTATGTTGATCAACCTGGAAAAAAAAAAGAATTTCATATTTATTTCTACAATTTAACTATAAATTATCTGATATTTTGTTATTGATTTGTGCAAAAAAAAAAAAAATTAAAAAAAAAAAACTCACATTTAACATGATACATGCATAGGCCAAAGTAAATGCTGCATCATCATTTGCAAATTGAAAATTATTACTCTCCTAAATGATGAAGAAAACAGTAGTAAAATATTCATTCGTACATTGAAAAATTTGACACATTTTTGCAAATAATTATTATTTAGTAATAAAATAAATTATTAAAATTGATTTACGACTTACTCTCCAATGTTTTGCAAAATTTTCTAATAGATTTGATATTAAAGGTGCTTCACCCGGTAATCGAAATTCAGATAAATATATTCTTAATGCTTCGTCAATTCTCAAATCATCAAAATTAAATGTTCTAAAATAAAAGAGCATAAAAATACATAAGAAACAGACATATGTTACTGTAATCTACTTGACATAATCTTCTAATAAATGTGCCTGTTTTTTATTTGATAAATATTCGCCAATAATTTTCTTATCTAATAGTGGATTATTTTTTAGAAATTTAATTATTTCTTGTGTACGAAGTGGATCCGATAATAGACGACATTCTTGTAAGAATGCAATACCACTCAAAGCATTTGAGTTGAATAATTCACTACCTTGACGTAATAACTAAATAGAGAAAACATACATAACACAGTAATATATTAGATGAGAGAGACAATATTATTTTCTACTTACCTTTTTATCACATTTTAACTTTTTTAAATCATCTTGTGTTGGCAAATTTGTAGAGATCTGCATACGATTTTGACGAATACGAGGACCATGACGAGATTCACGCGGAGTAATAGCTAAAAATAGACATTAATACTATAATTTACTTGAAGACTGTATGACTCAATGGTTCTACTGTTGGTCACGTATATCAAAGCTATAGTGTTCGAACCTCAACATCGTCAGGTTGTATAATAATAAAAGTTACTACTGTTGTCTTGATGCCTCGGATCATCTCTTCACTAGTGCACTTACTGCGTTGTGACGTACGCAGCGTTATCGATTAGGGAGATGGTAGGGGCTGAAAATTCACCATTCGTTTGGATCCACTCAAAAAATGTTGACTTACTCAGAAATTTTTTAAGAAAGTTAAGTGGAGAAACTGCCTTGTATGCACCTGAGTAAGTGATTTTTAGGTACGTTGATGTTTTAAGCTAATGGAAGTCTAACAGTCTTCAATTAGCTGAAAACATGCAGTTGCTCAGAAAGAAATTTTAGCTAAAAATGCGTTAGTCAAGAAAAAATTTTAGTTACTCTTCACCCTCCACCAAAACTTCTATCGAAAATGCTGGACGTACGATATAGTTCCTTCAATTAGTTTTCACGACTTTCTGGAAAAGTTAGCGCGTGATTAGTGAATGTATATGGGAAGCCTAAGCCATTGGATAAAAAAACTCTACATCAGGCTAGCCTTCTGATCAGAACTATAATTGACGACTATTACGGATTAGTGACCATGTCACAAACTACAGGAAAGATATTGATATTGGACCATCGAAACAGATACTACTCAATACCGACAATGGCAGCCAAAAGGCGAGGTACCTTCATCTCCTTCAGTGCTATCATAAATGTTTTAAATTGTCAGAAGAACATAGGATTAGAATATCCAACTCACGTTAAAAGCTGTACATCGCAAAAAAACACTTGTAATTAAAAATATAGGAAAGAGTGGAAATTCAATCCAATTTATACCTCTATTTGTGTCAATATTTTGCATGGATAATGCTAATGCATATCCAGATGGTACGGGACGTGTTAAATTTTGACCAGCAGCTAAAACATGAAAAATATACACTTTATATTCATTAAGCAGGATTATAATCATACAATCATTTTTTTGTTTTTGAAGTTGAGATTGACATTCTAATTCGATATGGTCTATAACGGACAATAGAGCATCCAACGATAGAATATGAGTTGATGTTAAACCGGCAACTGGAAATGCATTCTAAATTAAAAGCAAACAAAATGCTTACGTGTTTACCATTCAAAAAAAAAATTGTCTATGTTTTTTTGAAAAAAATATTTGATTAATTTTTTCTACGTTTAACAACACTTCATTGGTACACACTTTTGATAACATTTTTGTTAATTCTTCAAATAAATTTGTGCAATAAAGATCGCAATCATAATTGAGATACAATTCAGCTGGTAGTCCAGGTATTTGTAATAATTGTACAATCGTTTCTAAAGCAACTTCTTTTTGTTCAACAGTTATCTTAGATTGTTCACTAGCAATTAATTCCATCAAACGTGTGATAAAAAACTAGAAAGAATAAAAATGATAAATATAAGTTATAAAACGATATTTAAAGTAATTTTACTTCTAACTGATATTTCAAATGAGTTCTTAAACTTTCAAATATTAAGAAAGATACACGTAATGATGATGTAAATAATGGGAGACGACCATTGCTTAATATCTAAATAAGATAAATACCAAAATATAGCTAATATAATACAATCTGCTCCATAAAAGTTAAATGTTTTAGTATTGATCAAATTATACGACGTATCTTGAATAATCAAGGTTTCTTTGTACATACATAGTACAAAAAGAACGTCATATCATAGATAATGACTTATTTTCTTTCTTACCCCGATTAAATTTTTACATAATAAATCTTTAACAACAGATAATAACAGTGGGTAGTTTGCAATATAATCTGCTCCAGCTTCTAAAGCCACTGTTAACAAATTTAAACCAACTGTCATCATGTATTCAGTATTATTTCTAAAACATAAACAATAGAAATTAAACAAAATTATAGAAAGAGACGATTTACAAAACTTACTTATCATAACTGTTGATTAAAGTTGCTAAAAATCGCAATAATCCACGCACACATGGCCACCCATACGGCGTTAATGGCTCTAAAATACAGACGATATGTTATTTCTTGTCACAAGGAAAAATGAGATGAAGTCTTCATTGTTTGAATGATCTCAACAACCGATGTTCTTCCTCTATAACGTTTGTTATAATGGTTAGAGCTTCGCAGTGCAATCATGTATTGCAGTAAAGTATTAAGAGGATCGGTAGTTATCATTAGGGAACTTACCGTCCACTCTCCGATTCAACATTTTTCAGAAATGAATATTTCCTGGCTGCTAGAGAAGGTATTAGCTTCCTGTTTTGTGTTGATATTAGATATCGTACTTTCAAAGAGACTTTTATATAAAGAAAAAACATCACTCTTCTATTTTCACAATTGGAATTCTTCACCTTTACCTTTTGTATTTGTAGCTGCTGTAAATCGAATTCCTCTTGGATTTATGTATTCACAGTCATTCGTCGAATTTTCGTCGTATTTTTCTTGTGGTTGTTGTGAAGATTCTTTATCTGTTTTATCATTTGCAACTGTTGGTTCCGCTGTATTTGATGAAGAAGTTATTGTTTGTACGGAAGATGTTGACTCATCAAATGATGGTTTTATTGTGAGAATTGTTGATTCTGTTGTTTCATTATTATTGTCGCCGTCTGTTAAAGTGGCGTCATTAACTAGTGGATTTGTTTCTAACGATGTTGTGGCTTCATCAATTGCCGTTGGTTTATTGGCTATCAAAGATTCATTATCATCAATTTTAACATAGGATGATTCGGTCAATAACTGAGATGAAGAAGATGCTGGGTCCTAAAGCAAGAAAAAAAAGCTAAATGAATAAACATCTCAAATAAAACTCTGTTGGTTGCTAGAGAAAAATATTTAATACAAAAGGGCGAAATTTGACGTAAACGTACAAATAAATTTTTCTTACATAGATATTATTTTCTGATATTGTTAATGTCACTTGTTGCTGTTTATCAGAATTATTATCAGTCACTGTTAAATCTGACTTTAAACTGTCGACTGGGCGTTCTAAAAGTAGAAATAAAAGTGAGACACTTGAGTAATATCTCCAACAAAAAATAGGTAACTACCTGTCGAAGATGTCGAGAAAACGTTCTGAGATTGTGTTATGTCACTGTTACTGTTAATAGAATTTGTTTTTATTTGTTTACTTGAAGTGGAAGAAGAGGATGCTGTACGTTGTGATGATCGACGACTAGTCCGAGAGTTTAATTCAGAAACCACACCACGAGTATGCAACTAAACGAGAAGACAACAACTTGATTGAAACTCAATTAGGAAAAAAAAAAACATAATACTTTTTTTGTCAGTGTTGTTTGTGTGACATCATCTTTGAATTGTGGTAAACGAGCAAATAATAATTGAACCATATCAATCAATACATGCTCAGATGTTTTACGAAGCAATTCTAAATTAATAGAAAGATAAGATAAGTATTTTAGCTTCCAGCCAACAGATTTGTAGATTATAAAAAACAAAAACAAATAGTTGATCAAGTAATCAGATTATTCAGTTAGTATACTTTAGGTACTCCTAATTACTAGCATAGATTAGAAAAGAACTAATGGAAACAGCGAAAGACGTATGATTTTTTTTCTACATCGCAGAATATATAATCTTAAAAACGTTTAATTTGTACATACCCGATAGTCTTGTTTCAAAGCATATTCTAAAACAGGATTGTAATATCTCACATACAGAATCATTTGTCATTTTTGAGCCAACGGGACTTAACAGTAATGATCGTAATACCTAAAATAATAATTAAAAATTCTACAAATTCGAAATTACAAAATACTAATGAATATCGTTCCGTGGGTTTGACTTTTTGAGCCTATCCAATCCCGTATAGTTGAAGCTCCCGATTCCGAAACTGCGGGTTCGGATCAAAACCACAGAATTCTAGATGAAGGCGAAGATGTTCTTGGTTATTGGACAATACATGGCAAAGAATTTCCACATATACAGCTGATTATTGACTTGTAAAATACTCGCTATTTCAGCCTCAAACACGGAGGTCGGAGACCTTTTTTTTTCTTGCAAAATGCAATACTGATCGTCGAACACGATTGAGAACAACAAACGTTAACTTTAAAAGGAAAAAGCTTAAAAAAGGGTGTATTCATTAAACCATTTTGATACACGAATATCAATGTATAAAAATGCTGGAAAGCGACAATAGTCCGACGAGAATAATGAATATAAACAGTTAACAGCTAAATGCAAAGTGAGGATGCTTTTAGTGGCAGTGAAAATCACAGCTTTAAGAAAAGATTTTTCTATTTCTATTTTTGTGTCATAAAGATTCAGCAGACTGAGAAACAGTTTTCTTTCGCTTTGTTTTTGTATTGAATAATTACGGGTTCCAAATCGGATTCAACCCGTAGAACTTTACTGATGAGAACGGGCACACTCAAGTTATCCGACCTTTCTTCTCACTGCCACCTGTCGTACTCAAAAGATCTGATTTCTGGTTTTAACCTATAGGATAAAAATCTTACTTGTAATATTCTCATGAGTACAACTTCATCATCACTTGGATTTGTGCCAACAAATCGCGTATGAGTAACAGCATTCGCTACTTTATCTATGGCGGATGCAGCTGATTCACTTTGAATATCTAAAAACAAACCGAGAGCAAACAGATACAACAATTTCTTACATCTATCAATTTTTCTTCTCTTTATACTTACCAATAAGTCCATAGGATAAAAATTTATTAACAGCATTTAAAGCTAAACATGTTATTGGTCCCGATGTTTCATCTGATCGAATTACATCAAGAAATGGTGCTAAAAATGTATTTGAATCGATATCTTGAAGATCTAGAATGGAAATAAACTGGCATACTACTTTACATTAATAATAATATTCCTACCTGAAACAGAATTGATTATTGTTTTTAATTTTTGAAATGAATTGACTTCTGGTGCTTCCTAAGATGATAAAAAAGCTCTTCCGTTTTCATCTGGATGATATTAAGTACAGAAATGACATTACTTCATACGAATGTGTATTTGACCAGCGAGAATTATACTTTTTCGATGATGTTAATGCTTGAATTTCGCCTGATATTATGTAGATTGCATTTTTAGGCGCATCAAATGACATTCTTGATGTAGATATAGGTGGTTTCTAAAAAAAATATTCAAAGAAAAATATTCAAAGCTTCAAATCGACTACACTGTCCCGGAAAAGCATACTTTTAGAAAAAGCACACTTAAATTGTGCCAATGGCATGGAAAAAGTTTGCCAAAGTATGCTTTTAATGTGCTGCTAGCATGCTTTTATCGTGCCATTAACACATCTCTAGTGTGCTTTCAGCACACTGCGATAGCATTTTTGGACGCTTTTTGTGTGCCACTTCTAAAAGTGTATCATCGGCACACTTCAAGTGCGTCATCGATTTTTGCGTCAGCGATTTTTAGCAAAAACAGGAATACAGACTGATAAATGACGGTATTTTTAAAAATTTTCCACCGATTATTAATCAGGCATGTAAATCTATAGTTAATTATTCAACCAAGCAAACGACGCGACAGTATACGAGCATCCACAGCGCGTCCGCTTTTTACCAAGAAAAGCAAATGGTTTCAAAATAATCCAGTTGAAGAAGAAATAGTATGTGCGCATGGAACAATGACTCATCGAATCAATATGGTAACAGAGAAACGTTCGTGCAATTATTAGCTTTTCGAAACCTTTATAAATCAAAATTAAACAACAATTGGATGAGATTTCATTTTTTTATTTTGAATTATTTATGATATATTTGAATCACGGATAGATGTATTATTTTACGCTATAGCAGACGTCGATTTTGCGAATATCTTGATAGTTTTGTTAATTCATAGAAAAATAACCACAGAAAATAGAATATCAACTAATCCTTGTTTAATCCTAAAAGTTTTATCTAATGGATTTTATTCCTTAAAAACCGAAACAAATAAACGGATTGATTTCTTAAATATATATTATGAAAGCGAATTGAGCTACAATAATCCTGTTTCGTCGACATTGCCACGTATCTACCAAGAGAAAATCATTAAAAATCGTATTTTTGATCTTGAAGGCCTGAGGATGAGGGTCAGGGTGAGGGTGGGTGAGATTAATCGTAAAACAGATTGACTTATCGTTCTCGTATACGTGTAGATAAATTCGATCCGCTGACCTTCAACTTTTGCTTTTCAGTAATTGATTCGTGTGCCGAGTGTGAATTGATCTGTTACAATGGTAAGTTGTCGTTATTCTCGTAAAAAGCCCTCGATAGAATACACTGGTAAGTTGTATGACGCCTTTCGTGTGGTTTTATCAACACCCTCTCATCAGGATTGAGTATTAAAATTTTTATGATTGCGAATACTTAAAAAATACTTTTCAAGCAACTAACGAACGAAACACCATCTATGTGAAAGGACACTTGAAATACTAAGGTCACAAAGGAAAAACAAAAAGTAAAAATAAACATCCAGGTATTCATTACTTCTGATGTAGAGCAGAGGAATAACAAGTTTAACGCTAAAAACATGGTGCACGACTTTAGGTATAGAGTGGAAAATACAAGTTCGAGTTCACGCTCAAGGTTCAGAAGATAGCGTACAGCTTCTGGACGATGGTGTACGGTTCTCGATTTAGGGCACCAAGGGAGGAGAAAAAATACCTTTTGGATGTTCAACGTTCGACTTATTTAGTGAGGCTTGTTGTTCATCAGCTTTCTGCGTAGGGTTTTCACACTCCGAGTTTTAACCGCTGGTATCATTTCGTTCATCGGTGAATCTCCAAAATACTTCCCCAAAAGGTATGAAATGTCGTCGGGAATGCTCTCATGTTCGAATAGTAGGTGAAGTGTACGAACCTAGCTTTTCCGTGACAACATGTAGGTATGTCGCAATCCCGAGACTCTTGGGAATTGGTATTGAAGACTTTGATGGATATTGATGTATTGATGTATTGGTAGTATTGGTATTGATGATTTTGGTGTTGATAGGTATTGAGGTACTGAGAGATATTGGTTTTGAGGGTATTGGCTTTGAAAGTATTGGTACCGGTATTGAAGTATTGATTGAGGCAGATCTTCATTGCGTACTGGCATAGATATCATGAAAATATCAATTAGGATACCTGTGAACTACAAACGCAAAATCCATCCTTGATACCGATGTACGAAGTGAACGCAGACAATCTCTTCATGTATTCTCAATTTCAAATGGACCAGTCGGGCTGACAACACCATAAGAGAGTGTCGCGTACCAATAACTACGGTCACAGACTACGCGATCGGTCTGCATTCAATACAGAGACGCATTACTTTTCTGAAGATGTGAATTCATCCTCAATCAAGTGCAGTTCATTGGCCTGCTGATCGCTTTGTGTTTACTATGTCGGCCAAAGGGTATCGAACGCATCGGCAAAGCAAAATCAACAAAGGATAAATCACTCAAAACAGTTTTAAAAATCGATAAAAAGGTATGTTCGCGAAGATTAAAGTTCACCAGCTGTCGCGCCTTGAACTACTCGAGGAAAATCTCTTCAATTTTCATTCATTTTGTCTTTGAGAGAAAAACGGACTAAGACGTGATCGCTGTTTGCGTAAAACATACGATGTAGTGCTGAAGGCACTCTCTGAAGGGACGGAAGTTGCGGGTGTGGCGAGAAATCGAATTGCCATTGTCGACAATATCTTCAGTTGAGCCCCATGTGATCGCGAGAACTCTAACTAGATACGGAACAGAATAGAGAGGGCATCGATGGAGTCAAAGTCTTTCTCACCGCCTCTACATATTTATCGCAATTGACTATGTCATTTTATTGTTTCTGTGCTAACGAGCGGTAACCAGGGAGTTCCTCTCGATTGAATTCAAGAATTTGGCCATACATGACTCTTTCGACTTCATCGCTGTTCGATCGGCCGTGGCTAGTGATGAACCGATCGTTTCATCTTCCATTGTGTCGGCCACAGCATTGTTTGTTTGTTCGTGTAACTCTTGCAGTTCACGCTCGATTAGTCTCCTGTCCAACCAATTCAGAACACCATAACCCAGGGGATCGAAATAGGAATGCTTCTACGAATGAAGAGAACATGATCGGATCGATCAGCATCAGAAAGCGCATTACTTTTATCAAATGCCACTGATGCCTATCTTTCTCGAAATACTGTTCCATGTAGAATAATAGAAGTTGCTTTAAACGAGACGGAATTCTCGAATCATTCGAAGTGGAGGACTTCCTATCCTCAAGAAATTCCCGAATTTGAACAAGCGAGAAGAAGCTAACTCCAATCGTGCAATATTTTCTATCACTGATTAGTTTCGTCGCTTGCACGAACGGTAGTGAAACGCGTTCGATTACTTCAATCAGCATTCAATCAGCCTTGTCGAGCTCAATAGATGAAATCTTCTTCGTTTGCTTGAGGCGATGTGAAGAACTCCATCGACTCTTGTAGTCCAGTTGAAGAGTTCGTTTGACATCCAATTCCCTTCGAAGTTCATTGACGAATGATTTCAAGATGGAAGATTTATTCACAAGCTTGATGACTGACTGACATTTCGTTATCATCACCCTCTACTGACTGTTCAGAACCATCGTCATGTCTTGCTGAGTACTGATTTGCCAGAGAAGCACGACAGAGTCGATCATCATCAGCGAGGTCTTCTTCGTCGGAGCAATCTGAATCTGGTTGAGGTATCGATGTGGTCACTGGAGATGAGGAAGAGAACCGTTTCGGTTTTCTCAGCCAGAGACCGAGCTATTGCAAACCGTCAAGTATAGTCGATGGGCAACACCTGTGAACAGAACGCATACAGTCGTGATAAGAAGTTCTTGTTGACTGCAAATACAGTGAATTCTTCTCGTATCTGGACGCAACGTTTCAAACATCTTCACCAAATTGGAAGCACCGTCTGAAGTAATCGTGATGGTGTTCTCGTACACATTCAACTCCTTCACGCTTTCTTGAACAGTCTTCGAGATATTAGTCGCATAGTGCCGGAGAGGAAAACATGAAAAAACAATAATCGTCAACACACAGTCAAAATTCGGTGTGACATAGTGACTCTACAGTTGCTCTTGCCTGGTGCCAAGGTGTTGAATGCTTTCAAGAGACCCGGCCGCCGCATGTCATCAAAACTTCTTCCGTCTTCAATGATCATCGGATGAGCAATTCTCTTTGCCACCGGTCGCTTCCTTGTGCAACATACCGCAAATTTGTGAAGCTTATGAGCTTGAAGAAGATGCTTTCTCAAACCCGTCGTTCCACAGTTTTTCCGGCTCAAAATCACTGCGCAGAGATTGGATTTTGCTTTATCTTCCTCTACTTTCTTCATATATTCCCAAACATCGGAATGGCTATTGCTCGTTTGGCGTGTGTCGTTGGCAATCAAATTTTCTTGATCTTCCGGATGAGATGCAGAAGTTTGCTGCATTGAATCACCAATGCTTTGGTTCGATATTCGCCTACTCGAAGCTGGCAGCTGCCGAGAGGCTCGCTGCATAGCCTGAGATGAGGCCGAGTTATCACGACTGGCATCTACGTTTCGCGTGTGTGCAGTAGCTTTCTTCATTCGTTTGGTAGGCATGGCTTTTCCTGCTTGAGAACTGTCGCCTAGATAAGTGGGTTTATTCAAAGCAAAGGCGATAATGGTTGTGTCTACGCGTGTATTCTCGTTCGAAATAGATGGATTCGTTCATTGAACGCTATTTTCCTTATTCTTCGCGGTAAAGTGTGAAGCAACAATGGTATCGCTTCTGAAATATGGGAGTACCATAGGCTTCATCGAGAAAGATTCATTTCCGACTTGGACTCGAATATTTCTATCTCTAACAACTCAATTCGTTTCGTATTAACAGACCTCGTGTCAAACTGTTTTAACCTGAGTGAAGGACTAGATTCAGGATATATCGATAACGAACTAGGTAACTTCTGAAAGTTGAAAGCTCGAATTCTACTCTCGTGAACTTTTCGATGGACCCTGCCTCCTTGACTGTTGTGAGGTACTCTAAGAGTTCACTCGATTAGAATCAGTGTATAGTTTCACAACAATTTCCTTCTGATAAGATTAGGAATATACGTGTTGGGAAACACCAAACCATTGATGCTCATAGCTTCCGCGAGACGAAAAATTCATTTTTCAGTTGACATCATCATTCTAGCAGAGTTCAAGTTTTCCTAAGTATTTTATCGTGTGCCACTATTGAGAAATCAGTCAAGCAAAGACAACAGTGCAGTGAATTGAAGAGAACAGTAACATCGCTGCCCATATCAATACTTCAATACCAATACCTCCCGTACCAATATCAATACCACCAATACTGCCAATACTATCAACACCAAAACCATCAATACCAGTACCCCTCAATACTTCAATATCGATCAATACCAATACCGTCAATACCAATACTAAGTTCTGGTTTTGGCACATGCCTAGTTCTAGCAGGCACAACTATGTGAGATTTTTCAGTATTTTGACCACAATATCGTTATTTATTGATCAAATTGAAAAACTTCTTTTTACCAAAATGATCAGCGAAGAAAGCTCTACAAAGTCTGATACACGAAAGATTTTCTGATAACTTTGTTCTTTTTGTAATTAGCTGACCAAATATCAGGACTTATATATATATGTTACGGACAGAATTGGGAGCTGGACAAATTCAGAATTTATACAGATGAAATCGTGATTCCAGTTTTGTCCGGACGAAATATGAATATTGTCGGTTTCGAATATAAAACTTGGTTAAAAACTAGTACGGTGAGGGTGAGGGTGAATAATTCTGGGAAACTTGAGTTTCAGACAAAACCTCATTGTCTATACGAGTTCTAGCAGTCTCAAATAAACTATCACTTGAATCCTATATGACATACTCGCCTTCACCCTCACTACCAGTCTAAGCCTTTTATCTGTTTTCCTTACTGGTTTTTAACCGAGTTTTATATTCGAAACCGACAATATTCTAATTTCGTCCGGATCAAACTGGAATCACGATTTCGTCCGGACAAATTCTACATCTGTTCAGATCTCGCTTTTGTCCCAACATATGCGTTGCCGGGACTCAAAAGGATTGAATGTTCCGCTGAAAAATCCTGAGAGGAAGAATGTGAGACACAAACTGGGTACACTTTCAAACAGATTTTTCTCGTGGAGATAATTAGCACCTGCTTTGGTCTGCTAAACGACTAGCCAGGCAGAATCATATTTTCTCTATTCTGAAGTGTATTCTTTGATACTGCGCCCAGTAAAGCTAGTTCCAATGAAGTCATGATGCACACCAGTGATATTCCTTGCAGGTGTAGACTCCTACAGACAACCCTTGTCCCGCCAATCACATTCGAAAACATAATTTGAGTATACATGAATTTCGTGCCTTTAACATGCTAGAGTAATGATTTCTCTCCAAGTAGAATGAAATTGTGTCATCAAAACCGAGATAAGGATATTACGCAATCAGTTTTTTCTGAGGCGCTGAAGTTCTGTTAAAAAAAGGTCATTAGCATTAAAAACGGTTTGGCTTTTGATAAGAAGCTCGAAGGTAACAGAAACACGAGATGCTATGGAGACATGTCGACTTTGAAGAGTTACGAAATGGCATATTCAGTTAGCTAATAGTTGCTGCATTTGAATCTTGAAAAAGGGGCAAACAAAAAATCTGTTTGAAAGTGTACCCAGTTTGTATGTCGCATTCTTCCTCTCAGGATTTTTCAGTGGAACATTTAATAGTAACTCCTCTTGTACAGTTTTGTAGGGAATTAAATGTGGGAATCTTTTGAAAGAAAGATCAAGTCTCTGTGATAAAAAATGGATGAGACACAGTGCAAAAATATCAGTCCAGTTTATCCTGCGCCACCCATCACTTTTTGTTAGGTTCTGGCATGACTCCCGAATATGGTCATTCAAATCAATTGCTGAAGGCAATGTGATAATAAACAAATACTTTTCGTTTATTCCCAAAACCACAGCTTGCCACAACTGCTTTCAATGTTCCGCAGCTATAGCTGGAAAGAAGCCAGCCCAAAACAGAAGCCGAACTTCTTCAGCAGAAAATTGAAAAAATGAAAGAAAAAAGAAGTTCGTGTTTCGATATTCCTATAGCTGAATTTTTTTCATTCGAAATTTTTCACCATGCATCGAAAGTAGTAGGTACGATAGAAATAGTCTGCTGCTTACGTTTCTCGGTGAGATCTTCCCAAAAAACTGGTGTTCGTAGATTTTCTGGCTTGCTTTCTTAGTGTTCGTAGATGATTTTGTATGTTGCGTGTCACTTGAAAAATGTTCATTAATTTTTCAACTAATGGCTTCAATAAAGTACCGCAAGCTTGGGATCAATATTGATGGAAATCAGTATCTCTTTTCATTAGTTCGGTATTCGTAGATTTTTGAGTATGTTTTTTGGATGTTCGTAGGCCTATGGTAGGTGTTCGTAGACAAATTTCGTCTTGTGTCCTTCTGATCTATTTTAAGACCCGTTCAAAGTGGGTGTTCGCGGATGGTTGTGAGCGTAACGCGTTGAGTTCTATACGTCTGTATAATCAGATTCGAGCTATCTCTACCTTCGAGGTGTTCGTGGGTGTTCGCGTAGTTTACTGATATCTGTTTTTTAATTTAAAAAATCCAGTTGGTATACTTGAAAAAATACAACACAGAAAGAGAAATTCTAGGTTGTTAATGGTGTTGATCATCGTCGCATTCATTGAAATACAGATCTCCGAGAAAAGAACACAACAAAAACTTTATTGATCTCTTTCATTCAAGGTGAGTTTTATTGTCACTATCGTATGTTATCAGCATCAAACACACGTTATTCTTTAATGCCGATAACGAGGACAAATATCTAACTGATCGCTGAAGTCTGAAGTAGTGGAACTTGTGGAAAGGTTTTAATTTTTAGTTCGTTGTCCTGCTTTCTTTTCCAATACTTGAGTCAATGTACAAAAAAACTGATTTTATCTTGGTATTCTAGCTCACACATATAGGAGAACCTCAATTCATAGAACATGACTGAAATGCTCAACACCAAACTGAAGTTATTCTTGAGCGATCACTCGATCAACCCTTGTTGGACTTACCTTGAACAAAAGACGAATTTCAAGCGTGAGCAGATTATGCTGGGTACTGTATCATCTTTCTTTTTCTTATCACTTTGCTTATGCTTTTGTTTGTTCAGGTATGCTAAGCTTTCTCACCATCTATTTGACATTTGGTTGGGGCAATGATTGCTTCTGTAATTTCATTGGTTTTCTCTATCCTGCCTATGTTTCGTAAGTATACGCTCTCTCAGCTTTGTCGATCGACGGTTTAACCAGATCATTTCTCATACAATTTTGTAAACCTTTCTTGATTGAACAGACTATTGGCCACGCATTTGCCAAATACCTATGACACTAAAAAATGGCGGATCTATTGGATTATTTATTCTTTGTTCAACTTGGTGGAGTATTGGAGACGTATCTTCACATCTTCAATACCATTCTATTGGACGAGCAAATGCCTATTTCTTATCTGGTTGATGATGTCAGAACGAACAGACTTTATCTATTCGCAAATCATTCGTTGTTTCACGCTTCTCGGTAGACTGGTAAGACGATCTTTTGTCTATTCAACCCAAATTATTTTCTGGGTGTAGCAAATAGGTTCTCAAGTTTAGAATCAGTGTTGGGAGGTTGTGTGGCTCATCTAAACTAACCTCTAAGATTCCGTTAAGATCCATTTCAACAGTGCGCATTTGTTCTTTTAGCATAAAATCCGAGACTGCAGTTTGATAGTCAATCCACCGAATGAAAATGTGGAATTACATGTACTCAGCCCGTGTGCGAAACTCCCTCTACACCTTCGATGTGATCAACACGGCATGGTCAATCTGAATTCCCTTCTGGATGGAAGTTATGAAATAGAAGCTTATGCTTTGGGAACAGTGCCATTGCTATTACTGCAAAGGTTTCAGATTACAATCATCAATGGTGTTCTGAATGTTTCTACTGTCGACGTACAAGCAACTACGCTTCATGTGACTATCAAACGAAATGATCGACCATTGAATGGCGCTCGAGTTTTAGGAACATTCACGAATACACAAGCACGCAGCTTTAATCTTGATGGTCAAACTAACAACGAAGGTGTGATCACCATTGTCTTGTCGCAAGGAACAATTCAAAATTTTGCGGCAGAAAAAGATAAGGTTGAAGTAAAGAAAGTTGGGAACATTACTCTTCTATCACCAGCTCCCACTCCAGCTGGTGTACCACGGCCACCTAAATGTATCATCATTGATGTTGATTCATCAAGTTTTAGTTCGTCAGTAAATCCTATCAACAAGAAGGCACGTGTTGTGATTCTCGGTGATATCTCGGGTTCCATGAGTTCAGGAACAAAAATGGATATCCTCAGACGATCATTTCAAGAAATTTTTGACAAATGTCAAAAGAATGGATGGAACGTATCCCTCGCATCATGGGACACCGAAACAGATTGGTGTACTGAAAAGTGGATTCAACCAAACCAAATTGCCGACGTTCGAAAATGGATCGAAAGTCAGCAACCGCGTGGAGGCAATGACATGAAAACTGCTATTGAGAACTGCATGGAACGGTATGCTGATGCTACTGATGTCTATGTCATGTGCGATGGGAATATAACTCCATTTGTTGTTCACCACGGAGAGCCTGATTGGGGACGCTTTCGTAATCAATTTCCACGAACGACATTTCATTTTATTGCTCTCGGAGTGGGTGCTTCATGCGAACCAATGGAAGCAATGGCTACAGCAGGCGGTGGTATATTTACTCATAATACATGAAGTAGGATATTGGATCTATTCTTCTGCGATATTATCGAAAGACAAAGACTAATAATCAAACATTTCCTCGGTTTTAAAAATTAAAAAACAGATTTCCTCACAGAAAGAATATATTTGCGTCAAGTAATCACTATTAGGTATTGGGTTATCTTTAGATTGAGTTAACAAGAGAATGCTAAGCTTTTTATAATGATCCTTTCGAACCTTGCTGACGGTGTGAGGGTGAGAGTGCACCGTAAAAACAAACGTCGTTTACGAAACGGAAAAACCGTTCAAGAATTTGCAACGTCTCACGAACCCTTGAATGACTGACCCTTGAACAAGTTCTCACATCTTATTCCGGCCTTTTTGGAAGCGAGCATACAGTTCTATGCTTCGTGGCAATAAGATATTTGTCAGTGTGATGTGCTCTCTATCTGGAGCTGTTTGATTACGAAGTAAGATAAATACTGTTCTATGCTAACCTTGCTGGAAATGGGATGGAAGAGAAGAATGAGCCTCCGATTATTAAAAATCTGAGGGGCAGAAAAGATACCTTTATCGCGGAAAACAAATACTCATTGCGGAAAGTAACCATACGTGATCGGAGAAAAAACGCTTAGAGAATGTCTGGCTGAGAGGCTCCGTCGAGTATCGATAACCAAATACCCCTCATGCGCATGAATATTTTCGTAAAACCCTTAAATTTTCCTTAGAAACCCTATTTTATCGTCTAAAATCTATGTAACACGAAACGACTTTTGAAAGAAACGAAAAAAGAGTTTCTCTCGCTCTGATAAACGCTCGAAGGGTATAATATTGAATTCTAGAACCTTAGGAGTTTCGTATGCGACCCTTTTTTTTACAGCGCACAGGCAAAGTTTTATAAAAACAAAAGAGCTGGCGGAGAGTACAGTCTAGTTTTACGTGGAAAAGTATTTCTAAAACATATCGAATTCAATGTAGTTTTTCACAGTGATTCGGAATAATCTATTTATTTTGCTGTTAAACTGAGTTATAAAAGTGAGAGCTGTTAGATAAAAATACATTTTGATACCTGAATTAAAATATTGGAGTTTTATTTTGATATAGAATTCAATGCCGTGGATCGTCTGCCGATGGATGGTGTAACTTATTATTTACGCGTAATATTTCATTGATCGAGCGGACCTGACGGACTAGACACCGTACTGCTTATCAATTCTTTCACTCTGTTTATATCATTTTCAGTTTCAATAAGCTTTGAATCGTCAGGGGGAAGGGAAGCAGCCGTAAAATGAACTAGCGCTTTTTCATAGTTATTCAGTGCTTCGGTATAGGCCTGAAATCCGTCTTCGTATGTTGAGCCAATACTGTGGTATAATGTAGCAAGATCCAAATCATTTTTTGCGTAGTAGTTAAGTCGAAGCGACAGTGCCTTTTTATACCTGCTCATAGATAAGTTATACATTGCTCTTTGACCATAGTCAGTACCAATCAGTTGCAATGTTCGTGCTACATCAAAGTGACTTGAGTTCTTTTCATATATAGCTAAAGCTTTTTCATAGTGATACATTGATCTATCGTCATTGTCGTTAGTATTTCCGTACTGAAGTCCAAGAGCAAAGGCTATACCAATAGTCAAATGTGTTTGGGCTGTTTGAGGATGATTTGGTATTGATATCAGCTGCATTGACAACGCATCGTGTACACCAGAATCACAGTTGAATCGAATACAGAGAAAAACTCGACCAGACTAGGACAGTGATAGAACGTTGGATCAAGATTTCGTAGTACCCGCACCATACCATATACCCATTGAGATAGTGAGTCTCAGAGTGAGAGAGCACCAGCATGAGGAGAGAACGCTTTCTGGAGTTGTGTCTTGGACAGCAGTCGCCGACTAAAAGGCCCAGTGGATCTGAGAATGTGAGACAGAGATGAATAGACAAGGCAGCAAAGAGTCTGAGCAAATACTGAGAACTGACGGCTAAATCAAGTCAGTTTTCATTGAAAGAAGAATTATTCACTTCAATTTTCCAAAGAGATTGCCATTTTGTAAAGGAATTCTTCAATTTGCGAAACAGCGGCCGCGAGAGAATGAAGAGGAAGTTGACCAAAAATGACAAAAACGCGTCAAGAACAGGACATTGACAGAAGGCTGAATCAAGATTTCGTGGCACCCGCACCCTACCATATGCCTATTGCGTACGACTTTACTAATGAGTTTGTACACACTCACAAGAAAGATTGATTCCTTTCTATTTCGCTTAGATTTTACCTGTCAAACCCAGGAATGACCAGCAGCGTATTTATCAACATGTGCGCCAACTAATTCATCGTGATTTTCATTCCATAGTCGGTGATGTTAACCAATCGCTTCTACATCTGGCACTTCGAGAGATTAGGATCAGCTATGAAGAAAGTGATGCAATTTTAAGAAGCACCCAATTCAGTTTGGAATTACCAAACTTTTAATTGCTTGTGGAGCTGAGATTAATGCAGTTGATAATTGTGGAGACACACCATTACATTATCTGTGTCAATACAACTGGCAAAATTCTTTAGATGGTCACTGCACGATTGAAAAATTCTTTGAAACTTTGATTTCGGCTGGAGCACATATTGATGCTACGAACTTCGAAGGTAAATCAGTGGCAGACTGTACAAGAAACGAACGTATCAAGGATCTCTTTCAAAAACACTCTTCTGCTCGTCTCAGTCTCAAGTGTTCATGTGCACGACTGATCAAGCTGAGAAAAATTAATCATAAAGGCCAAGTACCAAAATCCTTGTATGCATTCATTGAGCTACATACTCAACCATCTCAAAATTTACATCTACTCACAGAGCAATGTCCTTCCAGTTGTCGACGACTGTCCTCTACTAATTCGGAAGAAAATGATTGGACAAGACTTACTTCTCTCGTTTGATGTTTTGAACAACTAGCCATGCGTTATTATCTGGGGTGGCGCGGCCAAAAAGTGTTGATTGTCTCTCAAAAACCTTGACAAGAAATATTCGCGCGTTGAGAGTCTGAATCCGACGTGAGCTTTGATTATTTATTTATTACTAATTGTTCGATAATTCTAGATTTCTCAAGAATAGTTCACTGAAGTTATCTGTGATTTTATTACATATCTCATTGATCATTTCGACTCAGTTAATTTCATTGAGAAGAAAACTTGGAAGCTCTAAGATGTATCTGTCTACGAGTGCGTCTCGATTAGATACAAACAATCCGTGAACTGTGTTTCTTATAAAAGTATTGCAAAGGAACGAAACTATAATCGGTACATAGATCTTGAGGATGTGAGTGACATTTTTAGTCTTCTTTCAAAGCTTGGCAACCATATTCAGTTCATACTCGAACTAATAACAGTCAATCAGAGCGATGACAAATCAATGTCATGAACTATAATCCAAACTCGGGCACTGCTTCTCGCCACGGTAATCAACCAATTGAACAAAGTTCGTAGCAAGATATTGTCAATGAAACGAGAATCGCGACTCAATCTGTCACTAGTCAACCGTCGTTGAACTATTCTCTTTCTCGTAGAGAAGAGTCCAGTAAAACTAATTCTCTGCTTGACTGTGTATCCGCACTTCATTGATTGGTGGAAATAGATCACATCATAGCCAGAATCTCGTCGCGCTCTGAGCTTCACCACAGGTAATCCGGGGCCGTGAGTTCGAATCCACGGTCCGCTTTCCTCGAAATCCCATTAGCCTGCTAGGGGCCAATGAAAATCGAGTATTCCAGTAAGATCTCTTTTGAGTGTTATCTTATGCGTAGAGACTGAATCTGACCAGTATTCATCCGAAAGTAGTATCTGCAATCCACGCATCACTTAAAACCCATGGTATGGAGACATAATTCCTCAAAGATCATGCTGCGACAGAAGCTGGAACTCTGGGCGATTTCTCTTCGTAATGATAATGTATATTCAGAGAACAGTAGGAATTTTCCTGCATGAGAAGAGAATGGATCAAAACAGAGGTGATGTAAAATTTTTGCAACATATTTCATAAGGAAAGGACGCACACTGGACTTGGCGTTGAAATCCTGTCGTCTGAGATTCGTAATCAAGTGAAAAACTTTACTGTGGCAGATTCAGTGTTATTTGAAAAGACAGTGGCAAAGGCAGAGGAGCCACGAGTTGTTTTCATGGTAGGCTCACGTTAGTACTAATCTCATCGGAGAAATTGATTGATAAAAAACCCTTTGAAAGTATTGTGAGAGTTAGTTGAAGAGATCACATCGTCAAACTCTGCAATCAGGTTGAAAATTGATTTCTGATAGCCAATGATTTACTCTGCACGAACACCTTCCGAGAATCAGTGATAAAAGTTTAGTAATCGTAAAATATATTCGTTGCATAATATCTAGGAAGATGGTCAAGACACATGTTGGGTGTCAAGAGCAGAACATGCTCTTGTTCAAACTCGCGTAGAAAAACTAAAAAGCTACCCATTGCGATACAAATCTTCTTAAAAAATGCGTGTTTTGACTAAGCGCAGTCCTTCGTTCACGGTCCATTGTACAAAAAGTTCTAACACTGGAAAATCAAGTCGACGTTTGACATGGATTGCGAGAAGTACTATATTTGACTGATGCCAAACAAACGCTTACAATATTAGCATAATCTCCGCGGTAAAAATGATTCGTGAAAAAATCACTGATTTATTTATCACGCGTTGTTCGCCTGCAAAACTTGAGTTCATTATAGTTGTGAGAAAATGATTTTTGAGATCCTAGGCGCACCTATTTCGACGAGAAAGAGTCAAGCGAGTCTGCAGACGAGCGTTACTTGTTTAAATGAGTTCTCGAAGATAATGCAGATGTGTTCGTAGACGATTGAAGTTCACATTAATTACCATAGACAGCGAGGACCTCATAAGTGCGCTGTACTGTTTTCATCTGTTTCGATTAAGTGACTTAGGAGAAAAGCTTATACTAAAATGTGATTTCAGAATGTT